CCAAGCTTTTGAACGGTAGTCAAAAATCACCCACACTCTGTTGAAGAAAAAAAAAACAGACCTGCAAAGTTTGCCATCTTCTTGCTTACTAACCTTTTCACGTGAATTAGGTGGAGGTGTAAATGATCCTTGTGTAATTTTAATATTCCCACAGTACTCATTTATTCCCACTTCCTGTTGGCACAGACCTATGAGCCATGGGCCTACGCATTGACAGGTGTGGCCTAATGCTTCCCCCTCCGTTTTTAACAAAGGAATCAGGGTAAACAACAATCAGAATGGGCAGACGGATACAGACTTGAACATTTCTCAAACATGAAAATGGGAATGACTTTGATGGTTTGGAATGCTGCTCACCCACACATGCACAGACGCCCACATATGTCCCACACATGTCTCACACATTTGAATACACATAAAGATACCCATCGTACGTGACACTTCAATTCCCATTCACCCTTTCCATTTAAAAACGCTCTTGCATGAAAAAGGCTAATTGATTCATTGAATGCTGTTTAAATTGGCAAGAGCAAAAAACATCTTCAACCTAATTCCCTTTAGGGTGGGAAAGCAGCTAAACCTTCTTACAGCACATTGTGTCCTCTTATTAGAAGCCCTGTACAAAGACATTATTAATCATCTACAATTTGTAAATCAGTTTCAGGTTTACTGCTCCACCTTGCTGTGTCACTGCTTCGAAAAGGTGATGAGGGAAGGTGTTAGACTCTATATTAATGCGGAACATATTTCGTTACTGTTGAATTGTAATATTTGGATGAAACCAGTTAGCTATAAAGTTGTAAGTGCACTGACTACTAACAACATTTAATGCATTAATATATATCTTTAAGATGGATTTTTTTTGTTTTTGTTTATTTGATTTAATTACTAATGGGTCTTGAATGAGAAGTTTGAAACCAATATATCCTCCTGAGACCCAGCTATGGAGTTTTTGCCTCTGTAGTGGACATTATGTTTTAGTGAATTTCTCTGCGACGTTACATGTCACAGTTTTAATGTCCTGTACAGAGCACATTCAGGGCTTTCCAGAGATACCAAATGATTGGATGTTTCACCATCACCACTCTCTCTCCTTGGTTTTTAAAAATGGCTGACATTAATTTAGTGATAAAATTGTACATCCATATGGTAATATTTTGTAATTATAATTTAAATCTGATTCATTTTCAAATTGTCATAAATCAACATCTCAGGAAAATATTATGGGGTTTCAAATCAAAATATGGCTTCCTGTTATGAAACAGGACATAATTTCATACATGTCCACTGTAGAGGACTAAGGACTAAAAGCATATGTATTATACATTTTGGGAGACAAAAGAATTGAAATAAGAAAACAAATTATATATAAATATTCTTATGAAATATTAGATATTATTATGAAAATCTGGCCAATTACTACTCCTAACCTAAAAATTGATTGGTGATTAAAAAAAAAAAAAATCCCATTGTTTTTGCCTATGCATGTCTACTCTTGTCATTTTATTTTTTAGAAAAACTGAGTCCCGGTGTCCTCTACAGAGGACATAGCATAACTTATGAAAAAATATATAATTTTTCAAAAATGTTATTTTACCATTTTTTTCTCATGCTCTAAACAATGTAATGACATGAAAAAATACTAAATTCGCAAAGCTTTTTATTTCTGGTTCTCAGGAGGATATATCTCCCTTATCAACTTCCTTGTTTTTTGTGTGTGTATATATATATATATATATATATATATATATATATATATATATATATATATATATATATATATCCACACAGGTTAACATAAGTCAATGATGAATGTGCACCACGTGAATAAGTTGTAAATTCTGCCATAAGGCACACTTGGATCTGCTATATAACCCAAAACAAGTTCTTTTTTTATATCAGTAATCTAAGTTTTGTTGCGCAGATAAGGAGCTATATCAGAGTTGGCCTCCAATCTGCAGACGTTTGCAGACTGTAGTTTACAGCTCATTTGGCACGAGATCGTGATAGTGAGTGACGTAAGTGTTCATTTGTAGCCCATCGCCCCAAGCGATGCTTATTATACTGTATGACTGGGACGCAGCGTTTCCTTAAGAGCATACACTCTTTTATGGGGGACTATTTGCATAGAGATAATGATAACCGTAATACACGCTTTTAAACGTAAGCTGCACACGTAGAAAGATTACAGGCAATTAGAACATGCGTGTATAATGATATATTTGCATATGGGTGATTCATCAATTAAGGGAAGTGTTCTGTCCTCTAGCAATGATTATAAAAATGCAATTTCGCTTTGAAAGGTTTTTTGACTTCATCATAAAAAAAATCTCTTCTCTTTCTAGCTTGTACTTATTTGAACAATGTCTAAGAACTTGGTATTACAACCACTTCTTGTGTCTGTTTGCCTCTTTAAGAAGAATCGCTTTATGTATCCCCCAATTGTAAGTCGCTTTGGCTAAAAGCGTCTGCTAAATGACTAAATGTAAATGAAAGATAGATCGTTATATAGCGTTAAACATTTAACTGTGCCTATACTCATTCTCTAGAATGTCTAAAGACGTAATAAATGTTACATTTCTTAAAATTGAACTTATCCCACACCAAGGCATTGACACTTTTATACGTATTTATGAATACAATTTCGATTTAAATAATACAAATGAGTACAATACAAAAGCATTTATAACAAGTAGCCTAATCACTGTTCCCAGAAACATTACTACTACTACTTACATACTGCAAAAGTTAATTGTTAGCTAACTTGTTAGCAACTTCTGTTCTAGAAACTGGAGGGAAAAAAGAAAAAGAAAAAACATTGAAGATCCACCCATATCAATGTGTAAATTAGGCCTACATATAACAAATATATCACAAAAATCGCTAAACCAATTTAAGTTGTGCAAAAAGACGTTAAAAAACTGACACAGTGGGCAACAAATATGCAACCTAAGACACTTCTTGACTATTATTCTTGGCTATATGTAAAATAGTAGGCCTGTTTAGTAAACAGAGCGTTCAGTGTTGCTATTTAAACATTGAAAGTTATATTGGGTGACTTTTGTTACTTTGACAGTTTGCCTCATGAATGGTGTGGAATTGGGACTGGAGCTCCTCGCCCACTCAGATTGGATTTGTCCTCAATGAGGAAAGCGGTGGGGGGGTTGTGCTCCACGTGGGTGAGAAGCACATCCCTCCATTGGCTACAAAGAGGACGGCATTACATGCGCCTCCTCTGATTGGGCAGGGCTTTTGTGGGCGTAACCACAGCGGCACAGTGAAAGCGAGATACGGTGAAACAACTGGCATTATTATGCGTGTTTCACAGGAGTTGCTCTTCGCGATGAGGGCTGCGCTTTAAAAAGAAAAAAGGGGAAAAAAGGTCGCGTTGGTTTTGCAGTACACTGTCAACGACAAAGGACTACAGTTATGCATTTTAACTGAATATGCATTTTAATGCACTATCGGAAAGAGAGAATTAAATACTGCCGTGTAAGAAGCAGGAGCGATCACCAAACGGGAATAATCATTGGGAATATTTTCCAAGAGCTTTCACAGATAGCTTTCCACTGAGAGATCTAGCCCTATCCGTCCGCTTCCATCGACACTGTCTCCTCTATCGTAGGCTATCGAATGGACCAGCATCCGAGCGCCCGGAGCTGCAGCAGTCGCGGAGCTGCGCCGTCCTGCGAGAGCGTCTCCGGCGAGCCCCCCATGAATTTGTACATCCACTCCACCACCGGCACACGCTTCGAGCTCTCCCTTCCCGCAGAAGAGACCGTGGAAGGGCTAAAACGAAGACTCTCTCAAAGACTGAAAGTACCCAAAGAAAGACTCGCGCTGCTACACAAAGAAACGTGAGTAGTAGTCTGATGTGTTACTTTTAGACTGCACGGTTAGTTATTTTTTTAACAATGGTTAAGAGCCGGTCAGAAGCTGGGTTCTTGGCTGGGCTTCCGAATGGAGATTTTCAGCCACCTCTGATGGCAAGCCGTTTTAACATTTATTCTTTAAACTGACTAGTAGCCTTTTATCTTGTTTTTGTTTTTATTACTAGCACTTGTTCCAGTAGTGATTAGTGTATCTTTCCATTTCACTAGGAAATAGAAATGAGAAAACATTACATACGATTAGGATCTATTCAATTAATCACTTGTAATTATTCCGTAAACATTGGAGCATATTCCTTAACTAGTTTCTTTTTCAGTAATGACAGGTAGCTATTGATGTTACCAGTAACAAACTGCAATTCTGTAGTTCAAATATATTCAGTTCTAGCGAGTAGTTATTAGTATCTATTCCAGTTTAACTATTCATTAGGTAGTATTAGTGTTGAACTATTAAAATAGTCACTATTATCTGTACCACTCTTATGGTTACTAATATTGGGATATTGAGTACTAGCAAAACAGCAATCACTAGTATGCAGGGAACGAGCAGTTGCTGACTAACTATAGTAGTCACTACTGGAGTAGTCAAGTGCTAGTATTTATAACAAAAAAGGTAGACAGTTACTAGTACAACATATGTAGTTTTAAGGACTACATATATAAATGGCTTGCCATAGACACCTGCGTCATGGAGCCCTGGTTCATGCTGTTAAATGCATAGCAACTTTGCAGTCCGTGTTGCATATCTACCATGATATTTTTGCTGTGGCAGTCCACAACCTCTTGAATAGAGAAGTGAAAGTGATCTATGCTGTTGACAGTGTGCTGTGGAACTCAGTTTAATATAGGCCATGTGCAAGGTGCAGAAACCTGCATTACACCTGAAACTGTACTACTGTTTCCCTTATAAAAGGCCCATCGGTGTGCGCAGCTTTAGTGACAGTAGTGCATGCATATAAATACAAATTCCTAATCACTTGATTAAACTGGTTGTTTTGCTTGATTAGAATATGCATGGCGTTAATGTTTGTCATTTTAAACCAGATGCCAGGGAATAAAGCATTCCTAGTGGGACTCGCACCACGGTGTTAGAATGTTCTGAGCAAACATTAAGAGAAAAAGGGGTAATGTTAGTTTCAGTGCCGTTTGCACATTGCCTAACAATTGCACTTGGGTGGTGGAGCTGGGAGGTTAGAGAGAAGCTCTTTTGTCACTCGCAAATGACCCTAACAGTTGCATTGTTTATGCTTTGAATTGGGCCGATTGAAAAGCCCTCACAAGTAATCACCACCAAATTACATCATCCTTTTAAAATGAAGAGAGTCGCTTAATCTCTTCTGTTTGGTTTAGCTGCCTCCGGGCCAAGTGCTCAGTCCCTTTGTTCGGCAGGAGGTGGTGACATTTAGCCTGAGCACATGTATACACATTTATGCCACTAAGACAGATATTTTTAACAGATTTGATGGTTAAAAATACATTTAGACTGTGTATTTGAAACACTGGGATTCATGCGGGGTTTTTTTGGGAATAAACATGCTGATTTACATATGTTGTAAGACACCCCTTGTGAATTTTGGTCTGCTACAGATGTACTAGCCTATTATTATTTTACTTTGTTTCATATACCTGTCTAAAATGTATATCTAGATTTAAAGAAAAACATCTACATCATAACTGGACCAAAAAAAAAATTTTTTTATGATGGTTTTATGTGTAATTAAAGAGAGAGTTCACCAGAAAGAAAATAAATAAATAAATAAATAAACCTTTACGTGACATCGGTTAGTTATTTTTTTAACAATGGTTAAGAGCCGGTCAGAAGCTGGGTTCTTGGCTGGGCTTCCGAATGGAGATGTTCAGCCACCTCTGATGGCAAGCCGTTTTAACATTTATTCTTTAAACTGACTAGTAGCCTTTTATCTTGTTTTTGTTTTTATTACTAGCACTTGTTCCAGTAGTGATTAGTGTATCTTTCCATTTCACTAGGAAATAGAAATGAGAAAACATTACATACGATTAGGATCTATTCAATTAATCACTTGTAATTATTCCGTAAACATTGGAGCATATTCCTTAACTAGTTTCTTTTTCAGTAATGACAGGTAGCTATTGATGTTACCAGTAACAAACTGCAATTCTGTAGTTCAAATATATTCAGTTCTAGCGAGTAGTTATTAGTATCTATTCCAGTTTAACTATTCATTAGGTAGTATTAGTGTTGAACTATTAAAATAGTCACTATTATCTGTACCACTCTTATGGTTACTAATATTGGGATATTGAGTACTAGCAAAACAGCAATCACTAGTATGCAGGGAACGAGCAGTTGCTGACTAACTATAGTAGTCACTACTGGAGTAGTCAAGTGCTAGTATTTATAACAAAAAAGGTAGACAGTTACTAGTACAACATATGTAGTTTTAAGGACTACATATATAAATGGCTTGCCATAGACACCTGCGTCATGGAGCCCTGGTTCATGCTGTTAAATGCATAGCAACTTTGCAGTCCGTGTTGCATATCTACCATGATATTTTTGCTGTGGCAGTCCACAACCTCTTGAATAGAGAAGTGAAAGTGATCTATGCTGTTGACAGTGTGCTGTGGAACTCAGTTTAATATAGGCCATGTGCAAGGTGCAGAAACCTGCATTACACCTGAAACTGTACTACTGTTTCCCTTATAAAAGGCCCATCGGTGTGCGCAGCTTTAGTGACAGTAGTGCATGCATATAAATACAAATTCCTAATCACTTGATTAAACTGGTTGTTTTGCTTGATTAGAATATGCATGGCGTTAATGTTTGTCATTTTAAACCAGATGCCAGGGAATAAAGCATTCCTAGTGGGACTCGCACCACGGTGTTAGAATGTTCTGAGCAAACATTAAGAGAAAAAGGGGTAATGTTAGTTTCAGTGCCGTTTGCACATTGCCTAACAATTGCACTTGGGTGGTGGAGCTGGGAGGTTAGAGAGAAGCTCTTTTGTCACTCGCAAATGACCCTAACAGTTGCATTGTTTATGCTTTGAATTGGGCCGATTGAAAAGCCCTCACAAGTAATCACCACCAAATTACATCATCCTTTTAAAATGAAGAGAGTCGCTTAATCTCTTCTGTTTGGTTTAGCTGCCTCCGGGCCAAGTGCTCAGTCCCTTTGTTCGGCAGGAGGTGGTGACATTTAGCCTGAGCACATGTATACACATTTATGCCACTAAGACAGATATTTTTAACAGATTTGTTGGTTAAAAATACATTTAGACTGTGTATTTGAAACACTGGGATTCATGCGGGTTTTTTTTGGGAATAAACATGCTGATTTACATATGTTGTAAGACACCCCTTGTGAATTTTGGTCTGCTACAGATGTACTAGCCTATTATTATTTTACTTTGTTTCATATACCTGTCTAAAATGTATATCTAGATTTAAAGAAAAACATCTACATCATAACTGGACCAAAAAAAAAAATTTTTTATGATGGTTTTATGTGTAATTAAAGAGAGAGTTCACCAGAAAGAAAATAAATAAATAAATAAATAAACCTTTACGTGACATGTGGCCAAGTGACCCACACTCGGAATTAGTGCTCTGCATTTATCCCATCCAAAGTGCACACGCACAGCAGTGAACACACACACACTGTGAACACACACCCGGAGCAGTGGGCAGCCATTTATGCTGCAGCGCCCGGGGAGCAGTTGGGGGTTCGCTGCCTTGCTCAAGGGCACCTCAGTCGTGGTATTGAAGGTGGAAGAGAGCGCTATACATTCACTCCCCCCACCTACAATCCCTGCCGGTGCGAGACTCGAACCCGCAACCTTTGGGTTACGAGTCCGACTCTCGAACCATTAGGCCACGACTTCCCCAAAGTTTAAGATTCTTTCATCGTTTGCTCACCCTTGTGTCGTTCCGAACCTTTAAGACCTTTTTCTGTGGAACAAAAAAGACGATATTTTGGAAAGTGTCTCGGTGTTTTTTTATCCATACAATGAAATTCAATGGTGTCCAGTGTTGTTTTCGACAAAATCAGTTGCATTCTTCTAAATATCGTTTGTATTTGGCAGAAGAAAGTAAATCATAAACAGATCTGTTTTGGAAATAACATGCTGGAATTTGTTGAAGTCTAACATCTCCTTGTTTTTTCTAGACGCCTGAGTTCAGGAAAACTTCAAGATTTGGGAATAACGGATGGGAGCAAGTTAACGCTGGTTCCAACAGTTGAAGCAGGCCTAATGGTAAAAAGAGCTTGAGCTACATTACATGTGCTGTACTTCGCCAACTCTTTTTGCCACATGTATTTACCCTGCCGTATCTCTCTTCTCAAAGTCTCAAGCATCAAGACCTGAGCAGTCCGTAATGCAGGCGCTGGAGAGCTTGACGGAAACGCAGGTAAGTTTCACTCTAATAAGGTCAACCCAGTAGATATTTGAATTACACAGTGGCCCACTACATTGGACAGTTGTGCGTACACTTAACCTAATTGCCAGGGCAGCAGAGAACACCCGCAGTTGGCTCGTTTTTAAAGGATCATTTGTATATTTTTGAACTCTCTACTTGGCAAGCTGTTGCACTGACACATAGGGTAATGGGATACAGATGATGCCCTCCTGAGCTTTTAACTTAAAGACCTCCTCACACTTACTACGCATATTTTAAGAAGCACCTTCCAGTTTCCAGGCAACATCTGTGAGCCGAGGCAAACCCCACCTAGAAGCCACTTCATTGAGACGCCATCTTTCATTCGAAAGAAACTGTCCAACTATGATTATGCCGCTTTCTAATTTGTATTTTTATTTCTAACTAATGGTTAAATCTTTGCTATTAGTTATTTTAACTCATTAAACGTATTGTTTGCATTGTTATATTGCAATTGTCATCCAATCAGTTGCTGGATATTGACAAAAATATCTTCCAAATACACTTGTATGGGCATGAAATTGGTCCGCCACATGCCTCCGCAAAGAAGAGAAGAGAATATCATCTTCTTGCTGATATTTTGGGAAATCTAACTTATTCTAAGTTATTCTGTTTGTTTGTTTGTGTGTGAGTGATATGCATGTGCATTTGTGTAGCAGAGGAAAGCGTCTTATCTGTAATGACAACAAGGGAGTGTGGTTGTGTGCGTACGAGGGGGAAGGGTAGACAGGGGAGTGCACCGCTCCTATTCAATACGCCTTCTCCTGGCAGTGTCTCCTGTTTCTGTAGAAAAGCTTTTTAACCTGTTAAAAGTGGCTGTGTTTGGCCTTTCTCATCGAAAAACCTTTTGCAGTACAGTGCAAACATTCCTTGTTCTTTTTCTCTGAACTAATATTTGTAGGCAGCTAACTGTGTCATCTGGTCGCTTACGAAACGGCCCCTTTTTAGAAATCATAATTTTTAGTCATCGTTTGTGTCTTTTTTTTTTTTTTTTTTGTAGCTTCATGGTTACGGACATGAACGGAGTCAAATATGAGATATATCACTCTTTCAGAATTGAAATTAGTCAACACAATCATGCAGCCACAACGACTGTAGTGATCTGTGCTCAATGATACCTACCCATCTTGCCATGTAGGAATAGATAAGGTTGGATTCATAGTTATAAGGGACAACCACATATTCAGTACATAGCAGAATTCCAAGAGCTATGGTGCTTGCTTCCAGAGAAAGATCTATCTCAGACTCCTTGTAACCAGACTGTTTTATGGAAAGGGAAGGCTTGCAGTTATTGGAATGGCATTTTCCCCCTTGTTACTCTGGCCTAACAGCTTTTTCTGGCCTATAATTTAAAGCTGCTGTGGTTTCGCGTGTCTCTCCGTAGTCTCCAGTTTTACCTTCTCCGCCATTAAAGAGGAAGAATGTAATGACATCAAGGAGTTTCTTAGTTCCAAGGGAAAATCTAGCCCAGTTTCCGCACTCCGCTTAATAGATCAGCTGTCCTCTTGAACATTAAAATGCCACTTTTGCATTCAAACAGCGTTTTGTTGCTGGTAACTCTGCCCATCAAGTAGAAATAATGACTGGTGTCTGATTCTTCAGGCGACAGAGTTTGTTAATTAGCGGTTTTGGTGCTAACCCGCCTCTAAAGGCAGGTAGCTTGCTCGCTTTGTCCTTAGAGGATAACATAGCGGTTTGTTTCCACATGCAAGCGCCTCTCCCCCAGTCTCAGCGCTACACACTAGAGATGTTTTCCTGTCATAACTCTCCACCTTCCAGACACCCACCTACCCACTTTAGAATGGGGCTGGGGGGCCTGTCATTGTGTGTGGAAATGGACAGATGCATATAATAGGATCCAACCATATAGAGCGAGTCACCTCTCAGTCACCCCTTGTCATTTACACCCACCCAACCCCCTTCCTGGAGGGAGCAGGGGAAGGAGAGTAACTAAATCTGAGAGATGGCTGTAGTGACGTCACCCTGGACGAGGGTCTGATCTGTATGTGATTACCAGGAAGGACAGTGATGAGTCAGAAACCTAGATATAGATTGCGTACGAAAATAGAAGCGGTGGGATCGCACGTCACGATGAGTGGTAAGGATCCACAGGATGCCGATGGCTTTTGTGCCATATCTACAATTATTTTTTTTTATTTTACAGATATTTGAAATAGAAAAGACTGGTGTTGGCGTGTCATGTGAATAGCTGGCACATGGGAGGCGGGATTAGTTTGTGTTTCTTTGATCAGCAATCTGGGCCATGCCTATGTGTGTTCGCACAGAGAGCACTCCCGATCCAAGAGGGACTATGTTGACATGGGCAATCACTCGGATTCGTGACTGTTCCTGTTTCCCATCCGCCTTTGTGATTGAAGTGTTCAGTTTCGTGACTGAACTGAAAAGGAAGGAGGGAGGGTGTGGGGATATGGAGAACTTCTCATTAGTTGATAACCAAGCCACCAGCTTTTTTAATTAGGGTCAGACTCCTCTTTTGTACTGAGCTGTTTCTTTTTTTAGCACTGTTCCTTGTGCGTGTCCTTCTTAGTGTTTCTTTATTCTGTGACATTTCTCTACATGTTTTTTTAAGTCATTAATTAATACAGAGTCCCATGGTTGTAGATATTTTGAATCCTGTTGGCTGTGCGACATGTCTGTTTTGAGTCAGTCTCTCGCCTACCCAGACAGATCTGTTCAGTAATCTGAGGAAAATGGTGTTGTGCTTTCACAGTGCATATCTTTGATGCTCAGAGAATGAGGAAGAATGGACACGACAGGAGCAAAAATTTAAAATGCCATCATCATTTGCCTCTTGTCTTTCTGAACCTGCATGGCCTTTATTCTGTCGATAAAAAAAGTTATTAAAAAAAAAAATCAAAAATTGGACTCCATTGACCTTAATTTTATCCACACAAAAAAATTATCTTTATTTGTTCTCCTCAGAAGAAGAAAGAAGTCATATAGGTTTGGAATGACATTAATGGTTTTAGTCAGACATGATGGAAAGAGGCTCCTTGTAGGTTCTGACTGATCAAATTTAGTCTTTACCTGCTGAATCCTCACCGTTCAATCTCTTGTAGACCTTGATTAGGTCAAACCCCTCGAGTGAGATCTTTGAAGGTAGTCTTCTCTTCAGGGTTTGAAGAAAGATGCAAGCGATTGATTATTGTAAAGGAGCTTGCTATTGCATCCACACCCTTCATACCCCTTTGTGAGGTCTATATTGACGGCCCCCTGATACGATCAAAACCCACCAGTCGATGGTAAGGGTTAATAAGCTGGTTTTGAACTTTCCGTGTTTGCTGAGGCCTTTGATAGGTGACCAGTAGTCTTTTAGTCATGCTTGGTATCAAAAGAACCCATTTTCTTACTTGACCCCTCGTAGATAGGTGTCTTCAGGCTGTGGATGAACGTCAGTCCGGTGCTGTTCCAAGCTCTTGCCCCGCATCTCCTGTGTTACAGAAGAAACCGCCTGCAAATGAGTTCCTTGAACCGCAGGGACCCCAATAAATAAAACTGTCAGCTATAGAGTTGGAAGGGAGGAAAAAAAACGGAAGGAGCTAGAGGCGTACTCTCACTGAATATTTCATCAGCATCTACTGGCATCCTCACACCCCTCCACCTTCTCTCTCGCTACAAGGCTTCTCCCCTAGCCCTCCTCCCCTGTCTCCCCTTATCATGTTTTCCTTCTCTCTCCTTCACTCGCTCTTCACTGCATAGCAACTGCAGCCCACTGCAGAGCAAAATGCCTCCCCAACAAATCAAAATGGACGAAGTGTAAAAATAAAGTAATAGTAACTTTAGTCTGTATACTGAGAGGCAAGTATACAATTTTTCAACATGGTAACTTTGTTGCCATAGATGTATGTACGTATCTGCCTTTGTTGCCTTTAAATCAGCCTAAACAAAATCTGCAGATTTCCGGCATTTTCTGCACTGATTTTAGGGTGAAATTTGCAGAATTAAAAGAGATTATGGTCTTTTTAACTAGTGTTTTTGACTTGTATTCCAGTTAAATGTCTAAAAATTATTGTATCAAAACAAATTTACATGACTTTACATGACAGACTTTTCTTGAATATAAGGGTGTTTTGTTTCACAACACTGGCAGATTTTTTTACTTGTAGTGAACTTGTTTATACTTTAGTGAAAAAAAAATCAGCAAATGCATAAGACAAATTATACTTGTATTCAAGATACAATGTTTTAATAGCCCTAGAGATAAAGAAAATACTTTCTCAGAAAAACAATTGTTAATATTTTTTGCTTTTATTTTATTAATTATTTAGGTTTTTTAAGAAGACATTACCTTTACAAAATACTATATTTGCTATGAATCTGCATTATACTACATTCTTATTAATAGCATATTATGTTGTATTAATGTTGTATAAATGAAAATGGAAGAGTAAAACTTTGAATTATTGCCGTTCCATTTCTGCGGAAAACTTCATGGCTACATATTCCATGTGGGGCTGTTTTTTTAGAGAATATGACCTCCAGTTTATTCATTTTTCATGTAGTGAGTGAAGAAGGGGTGGATCCAGATAGGCTTCTGGCTTCAAAAGAATTTCCAAGCCAGTGTCAAGAGCGCTCTGTTATAGAACTTGATCTGTGTGCCTTGACGAGAGAGAGAGAGTCAGTGGCCTTTAGAACAAAGAGACCTGTGAAAATGTACACTTGCGGTCTCTTTTGAGTACCTTATCCATTATAGGTGATATAGACTACATGTTGACACTTCAGGCTATGCACAATACACCTGACAGATTCTATATAGTCGTGCTAGGTGAAGTGTGGAATTTCTGGCCACAAGTCTTCTAAAACTCTTGATTATTGGCAGATTTAGGGTAACTAAATATGGGCTTTCTTCCACAAGCACCAAGACTCTCCAAAATGGTCTGTTAATAGGGATGTAACGATTCACTCAACTCACGATTCGATGCGATTCACGATTCGATTCACGATTTTTTTTT